TGCTACACTGCTGGTGAGAATGCAGATTGGTGCAGCCACTATGGAAAACAGTATGGAGGTTCCTCAAAAAAACTAAAAATGAAACTACCTTATGACCCAGCAATTCCACTTATGGGTATAAATCCAAAGAAACCCAAAACATTAATTCAAATAAATATATGTACCCCTACGTTTAATGCAGCATAATTTACAATAGCCAAGATGTGAAAGCAACCCAAGTGCCCATCAGTAGACAAATTGATTTAAAAAAAAAAAAAGCTGTGGTCTAGATATACAATGGAATATTACTCAGCCACAAAAGAAGAATGACATCTTATCATTTGTGACTGCATGGATGAACCCAGAGGGTATTATTGGTGAAATAAGTCAGTCAGAGAAAGATTTCACTTATATGTGGAATCCAAAGAACAATATAAGTGGACAAACAAAACAGAAACAGACTCATAGACTCAGAAAACAGACTGATGGTTGCCAGAGGGGAAGGGGGCAGGGAGGTTTGGTGAATAAGGTGAAGGGATTGAAAAGTAGAGATTGGTAGTTACACAACAGTCGCAGGAGTATAAAATACAGCACAGTGACTACAGTCAATAATACTGTAATAGCTACATATGGTGACAGGTGAGTCTCTGTGTAAGGCCAGGTTTTCTTCATATACATCAACCAAAGCAACATAGCACAACACACTGAATGCAAAGATATGAGAATGCAGCTGCCTTCTACTAACAAACCATTAAAGAGATGTAAAATGTAAATTAGGGCCACTCCTGTAACCAATATTTTTTTTTTTGCTTTGGAAAATAGTTTTTATGAAATATGTTATTTGTGCTATATTATGCTTCCTATTTTGTATTTATATATTTACATTTATTAAATATTTAATAAATACTAAATTTTATTAAAGAAGCATATTTAAAATGTATCCGTTTGAATTTCCAATATGGAGAACATTTAATAGATAAAACCCACAAAAATAATTTAAGAGAGTAAGGAGTCCTAAAATTAAAAAGAAATTGAGAACTGTTGGCTTTATGACAGGCTTTGGACATATCTAGGTTCGAACCTCAGTGCTTCTAAGTTGTGTGGACTTGAGCAAGATACTTAATAGCTCACTCAGCTTTCCCATCTGTAAAATGAAGGTTCAGAGGTAAAAGGCAACAATAAAAAGATTTTGTAAGAAATAAATAATACATTTAATGTGCCTAATACAAATCTTAATACATGACCAAATGACTATGATCTTGAAAATTTCTAAAAAGCACCATCTCAGAATGAATTAATCATAGGCTAGCTTGATGCACACACCCCCCATAGGTGTTTTATACCTCTTAGAACCAGCTCTTTGGGCCTGGCCTAGCCCACATTGCTTCCTCACAAAAAAAGCTGAAAGTTCAGGAGGGATGTCACTGAGCACCTCCTCACTTCTCCCCCTTTCTACAAACCTGCCCACTAGGACATTCCTCTCACAACCTCATTCTCTCAATTCCCGCAATGAAATAAAATGAACTGAGCATCTTTCAGAATTTCTGTCACTGCACTCAGGATGAGAATTAATTTTCTATCATAATAGGGAGTTTAACTAAAATGAACTACCTGCAAGAAGAGATAGCCTACATCTCAGTTCCATGGAATACAGCCCGTAAATCTATCCAGCTCACCACTACTGCGGCCACTTGAATCTTATCACCCTGACATCCAAAACATCACAACATATGCCTACTCTCACTGCCTGGCCAATGTGTTCTAATATTTGTGGCTCCTTTCAAGGGTCTTCCAAGTCATTTCAAGAGCTGGGATAAGTCATAATCCAATTCTTCTCTATTATTATAACTCTTAAAGAGTAAGTGAATGCGATTATTTCTAGTCCAATTCTTACTTCAATTTGGCTCAAAGAAAATTAATTTTCTTTCTCAGAAGATTACTCCATTTATAGAGTTTTAGGTTAACATCAAAACTCATAACAAACCCTTTGCTTGGCAAAGCTATAGCTTGGAATGTTATCTCAGCAAAGCCCTAGCCTTTAACCTTGAAATGCAAGTATGTGCCAAGAATAATTTTTTTTAAGACAATATATTTTAAATGTAATTCTTCCTTTAAATTTCTGGTAAGCAACAATCTCCTAGGTGTCAGGGTTGTTTTAAACAAGGAAGGCAACATTCTCTGCATGGAATTCCTTGGGGACATATTACATAATATTGTCAAATTATTATTAGATACAATATTATTTTCAATATGCATAAGAAACAACAGTTATGTAGTGAGTAATTACTATGTATTAAACCCTATATTTAATCATTTTTATATTAGATATTTTGTGAATTATTTCATTTGATCCTTACAATATGCCTATGGAGTTTTATCCTCATTTTATAGGTAAGAAGTTAACTTAGATCAGATGGTAAGTAAAGAGAGTTTATATAACTTACCTAAGATCAAGTAACAAATAGCAAAAATCTGAACTAACATATTTCTTTTCATAAGGCAAATAGGCACCCAATTACCTTTCTATTATGGTACCTTAAAGAGTACAATAAAATCTCTGGATCCCTTATTTAGCATCTTGTATTCCAAGAATTCCTCATTGTATTGATTCATTGCTTTCACATTATTGAGTAACTTTGTCAGAAAATTTTCCAGCCAAATGAATTCAAGCTGCTTAGTTTCCATAGTGAAGAGTCAGTTCAGGCTTGGGTTTTCAGGTCAGGCAAGACAGGTCAAAATCCTGGTGTGTGGTTTCACCTGTATAAGGTTATGCCAGTAATCGGTTGCATCAGACAGACAATGCACCTCCATGCATTTTTCTGCTGCTAAAGCCAAAGCTTTCAGAGTGCCTCAGATAGGTGATAAACACAAAAAACTTCAGCTGGAGAAGATGAAAGAAACATAAGAATCTTTCAACACCCCCACAGCATCCTAAACAACAAACCATTCCAATTGCTTGCAGATTTGCACTGGCTTCAACCCAACCAGGGCTCTACTATTCAGCCAACTTTGTATTGGAAATGATCATCTTGCTTTGGTATTTGATGGTCAATTTCACATTATTCCAGCAATGCCCAAAGAAATGCTTTCTGACAATTTGTAGAAATCCTGGCTGTAGATCATTCAGTCAAGAAGTGGTGCCAACAGTATAGGGTTGGACCTTACCAAATGGAATCTAGCTCCTGACCCACAAATATTGGAAAGTATGTAAATTTCCTAAGCTTGGATGCCCAACTATATTAACTTACCACCACTTTCACCCCCAATAGACAAGCCTCATTGCTTTGATCCCAGAGTCCTGATTATCCTATTTCCTTTCAGGGAAAGGGCTGCCAGATTAGGCAACATAAGAAAAAGAACACAGCATTTTGAACCAAAGCACCTGGCTCTACAGCTGTAGATTTAGTGGGAGTCACTCACCTTCTCTGGTCCTTAAAACTTCTAATCTGTAAAATGAGGAACTAGGTAATTCTTAATTTCTCTTCTAGTTCTAAATCATGATTCTATGATCCACTGCTCTACAGCCCATTTTCTGGGATGAAGGTGATTTTCAACTTTAGGTTAGAATTGGTTCATTTTTTTAATATTTCATTTTCAAGGAAAGAACATGCAGACTTATCCTTTAAGAAATGAACATTTTAACCCTGCATTTCTGCCATTTAAAAAAGCTTATTTTGCCCTAGCCAGTTTGGCTAAGTGGACAGAGCTTTGAACCAGGGACTGAAGGGTTCTGGTAAGGGTGCGTACCTCAGTTGTAGGTTTGACCCGTGTGCAGGAGGCAACCAATAGATGTGTCTCTCTCACATAGATGTTTCTCTCTCTGAAGACTCTCCCTCCCTTCCACTCTCTCTAAAAAAAAAAAAAATCAATGGAAAAATATCATTGGGTGAGGATTAACAACAACAACAAAAGCTTATTCTGAAATAACTGTGAAAATTAACTACTTGAATGGCTTATAGCAAACAAAGTCTAGAGTAGAAGTAAGCTGTTACTTATGTAATATATTAATTTACAGAATACTCTGTAAAACTATAAAATAATATATATGTAAAAACCTCATTTCCAAAAGACCTGCAAAGAATGTCAAAGGGGAAAATCCTAAAAGATTTTCTTATTGTAAAACTCAACTATTTAAAGCCTAGAGGGTTAAATAACTTGATGGAAACTAAACAAAAATTTTAGGAAGAACTCAGGCTATAAAATAGGATATGCCTTGCAGATAAACCATCTTATTTTAAGGTACTCTAGAATTATGCCATCACGAATATGTGAGAATGCCATGAAGTTGCACTTGCTTGAGGCAAAGCAACCATGTTGTTTCATGAAAACTCAGAAATGCTTAGCACCGAGATCCCTCAAACTTTATTTTCTAGAGTGGATTTACACTTCCTGGTCCTAAAAATTTGAGAATTTGAGGTGTAGGAAGAAGAGACGCAGAACCAAGTATCTGTGTACAATGAAGTGTATCAGGTGACATCACTCCAGCTTCTGTCCCCTTCTGGCCAGAAAGGTGGGAAGTGAGGAAAGGAGAACGGAGCAATTTCAAACAACGAGCTCAGAGAACGCCCATGAAGGTTCGGAGGTCTTCCAGAATCTGTCTGCATTACTTGTTGGGGGTTCCTAATTTGCCAAAGAATTATTATACACACAAGAGACCAAGCACTCACTACTACATCCAAGCAAAGAATTTTACAACGGTTATAAATATCCCAAATCAAGGACTGTCTGTCCAGCTCCTACTGATTCTTGTACTGTGAGAAACTCAAGTACTAACACAGGTTCCACCAACCGAAACCTCTGTCTCCTAGCTTATAATGAACAGTAAGGAAGCTTAACTCTTCAGGTATGACACAGTCACTTTGTAAAGTGTCCAAAAGAGCCGAACTTGTTCTCCCTCATCCATGTTTCTAACTCTCTATCTCTTTTTCCCTTCCTCTCTGTAAAAAGTCAATAAAATATATTTAAAAAAAAAAAGTGTCCAAAAGAGCCTTGGAACTAAAATGTTAAATGGGCACACTTACCCAATATGGTTGGTTCTTAAAGAAATTTCCAGTTCTCTCAGCACTTGTGTGGATTCTTGAACACGCCGTCTGAATTTCTATAATTCAAGAAACACATATTCTCACAAAACATATTTTAGCAACTGCTAAACCTGTAGCTTACTTGTAATAAGTTTAACACGGTATGAAAATAGCTCTGCTTCTGAAGTGGGCTTTTCTCACATTTCTTTTTGCAAAGCACACACATTTTTCTCATCATGGAAATCAGCTGATGCAAAAGGATTGGGAAAAATTACTTATTTTCATGTACTAAGTGTCATTAAGTAAGTATATTCTTTTCCCCTACCCCGCAATACAATAGTCACCAATATATTTATGTGTTGGGGTCCCTAAGATCATCCCAGTTTCAATGATTCCATAGGACTCAGCATACAGTTATCCTTATGACTAGGATTTATTAGACCAGGAAGATACCAGGCATAATCAGCAAAGGGAAATGATACCTGGGGTGAAGTTTGGAGGAAACCAGATACAAGCTTCCAAGAGTCTTCTCCCAAAGGAGTCACAAGTGACAGTATTCGTGAAATGTTGTCGACCAGGGAAGCTCATTAGAGACTCGGTGCCCAGGGTTTTCATCGCAGGGTGGGTCACTTGGGCACTCTCTGCTAGCACATACCTAAGTCCAGCCTCCCAGAAGGAAAAGAGGCATTCGGCATAAACCATATTGTTGGCTTAAACAAGTTGGGCACCGGGAGTATTCTGATCAGGGAATGGTAGGAACTCTCCCAAAATTCAAGTTCCCAGTTGACAACCAGAAGCCAACCTTGCAAGCAGGTATTTCTAAGGTAGCAGTCTCAGGCTTGCTATGTTAACTCCTTTCTACATGACCTAAGATTTCCAAAAATAAACATTCATAGTTGTCTCTGCCCACGAGCCCCCACGTGGAAGGTCCCTGTTCTGAAGCACCTCCCTTCTACATTTGGAATATCCTTCCTCATTCCGATGCCTCTAGAACCCCAACGATCCTTCCAGAACTCCCTCATGTCTTTCTTCTTCAATGAATCCTCCTCTGATAGTAAATGTGCTCACCTCTCCTCTCAACGCTATATAACCTCCAAGGATTCATTGGGTTGCACAGCACAGCGGTTCTTTGGAACACCATTTCCTAAAGAAGCACTTATTTGCCATGACTAAAGTCTTGGGTCACTCTAGAAGGACATTTGATGTGCCACACCTTCTAAGAAGAGTCCTCTGCTTTCTGCCCTGTAGGTCCAAACCACCGTCTTGTTACACCGTTCTCGGGAAAAGGCACTTGGATTCTAACTCAGGATATTAGAAAGCCTTGTCTACCGCCATCATTGCAGGGTATATAGGGGTATCCAGCTCCAAAGGCAAAGGTGTGCAAGGACAGGAAGGAAAGGAGAAAGTGTGGACAGGAGGATGGGGGTGGGGAGAGCCAGGTGGAACCCTGCTCAGTATGGGCGGCTTCTGTCACTCTCTTCTCTTCTGACGGCCCTTTGCTTCTCCAACTGCTTCTCACCAGGGCACCAAGGAAGCAAAGTCTCCCAGATCCCCCTGGTTGCCATTCCTAAAGCACCCCAAAGACTTTCTTGGGTTTTTAGAATGTGGGTACAGTAGGATATGTGAAATAAAAGCATCCTCGATGCAATGAAGAAAGCAAGACACTCCCCTCTTTTATCAAGAAAGGCCTAAGAAATGGCAGCAGCATCTACAGTTTGGAGGGGCATCCGACTGCTTCCCGCAGAGCTCTCCAGCACTGAGGGCTGCTGACGAGGGGGTCTACGTATGGTCACGCAGCCGAGGGCACCATTTCCAGGTGTGCTGGCTGCTCCCAAGGGGCCATCCAAAGGCAGAGTCATAAGTCTTGGGCTGCCTACACCTGTGGCCTTCAGAAGACAACGCAGTGCTCTTGGCTATGCATTTGGCACAGTTCTGACTGGTTTCCTGAGGCCTCTGCCGGCCAACTCTGCCTCATGCTTCCTCGGGTCAAGGTCATCTCTTCCAGACATCGTCAGCCATAAGGGCAAGCAGCGAAGCAAGGAGGACATAATGGAGTATAAAAGAAAACCTGCTGAAGGGCTAAGTGGCATATATCAAAACAACACTATCAGATAATGGGAAGGACACTAGCAGATAGCATTTACTCGCCATTTACTATGGTAGGCACTACACTTTGGCAACTACATAATACCTGAGGTGAAACTAAATTGACTTTGCCCTTGTACTGTACTCTCTCGGGAACTGTTTGATTTTTAGCTGACTTCTAGACTACAGAGAGACTTGGCACCCACTTCACTAAACACATAAACAGTGAGTGCGAACACTCTGCACTTCTACAATGGATGCAGAATGCTTTAAAAGAGAAATCGTGTGCCCGTGGGGACCAGCTAAAAGGAGCAGGGTACCATCACTTTTAGTCTTCACCCCTGACTCAGCCTCTCCCTAAGAATAAGGTACAGCTTGGGGATGGGCCCACGGAGGCAGCTGAGCCCTGGAGACGAAGACAACAGATTTCACCATCACAGAGGACCAGGCTCCCTTCTTCCTGGTCTGTGGCCTCTCCCATGCCAGACGCGAGCAACCCCTCCCACCTCCAAAGCATAGACTAAGCACTGGCTGGTATGAAATGAGGAGGCTGGTTTGGAGAGTTCTGATCCCAGAGATATCTAATTTAGGCTCTTCCTTTCCTGCCCTGGAGCGTTTAAAACTATTTAGAAGAAAATCTAAGTAGAATATATTTCAGAATTTTTTTCAGAAGACGGCACATGGAGTACCTTGTGTTCCAGATGAACAAAAGCTTAATGAACAAAGTACCCGAGGGCTCCAAATGCAGTTAAGGGAAGACGGCTGGGCCTAGACTATCTGGCCCTGATTTGAAATCTTTTTGTTTCCCCCTCCCATATTACAACTGAGAACTTTAAACACATTTTAACTGCAAGCCATGCCTTATTCCAAACAAAGTCTCCTTTTCTCCAGGCTGTAAGCATGACAATTACGTTGAGTGGAACAGATCGTTTCCTCCTGCCAGCTCCTGACAGAAATCGGAGCAGCAGGGATGGTGGATCCAACATCATTTTATTTTTTTTCTGCCCCCAATGACTGATGGTGAAAGATGAGGCACAGACCAAACAAGGCCATTCAGAGGGACACACAGGGCCCGGGGCAGAGACTGAGGTCAGCCAAACAGACATCGATTGTCTAGGGCCTCTTTATCATTATTTGTGAGGGAGTAAAACACTTTCTGAGCAGCTTATTAGTTATTATTATTTTTTGTCTTATTCCTTTGCCTCAACCCAGAAGTAATTGTTCCAAAGGAGAGCTGGGACATGCCAGGAGGAACCCCCTGTCCCCTCCCAGCACCTTCCTCCCTATGGGGTTTGGGGCCGGAGTCTAAGAAGCTCTCTGGGAGTTCACATATTTTCTCCTTTCTTTTCAGAATCTGACAAATGTTGTGATAATTGTTTGGGGATGGAACATACTCTGTGTGAGGGAAGCTCTCAGTCTTGCGGACAGACATCGGCATTTCTGCAATGCTCAGCTCGGGGTGAGTGTGCCTCACGCCTGAGCATCCAGCGTGAAGGTGTGTAAGCCTGGGGATACCTGGAAATGTTTCTAAACGAGAAGCTTGCTGCCCCTGTGCAAAGAAATGGCCCAGAAAACCACCTGGGGCCTTCTGCTTGTGTTCTGTGCAAATGGGTGTGCCTTCACTTAGCCCCCTCTAATCTGATGGCTGAGGCTGCTCTGTCCTTGGGGGAGGAGACAGAACAAGTATGAAACAAAGAACTAAGCAGCTGTCTCATTGAGGGGGGCCTGACAGAAGCTCTTTAGAAAAACAAACATGTGTGTGCCATATTTTGGGAGGGGGGGAGCTATGAGACTTTGACAGGTACATTCTCAGAAGACGAGGCTGTGTCATTGAAGTCCATATGGCGTCTAGCCGACAGCACAGGTCTACATCCATTTCATCATCATGTCGAGATGTGATTTCCGCTTGCGTGCATGTTAACCATGAACTTCCAAGATGAAATAATAGCTGTTTTCCTTTGCTTAGCTTTTTTTTTTTTTTTGAAAAGGGGTGGTGGGGGGTGAGTGAAAGCAAAAAAATAAAGAAAAAGGACGTTTTTTATTTATTTTTTTAAAATACAACAGCCAAGAGCCCTGGAAACAGTGGCTAACTAGGAAAAGCGTGTCTTTCTTCTCTCATGGGTCACACGCAGAAACAACAGAGGGGATTCAGCTCCAGATATTTTCCTCGCAGCCTTGAAAGCAGGAGTTGCAGTAGGTCAACCGGAAAACAAGCGCTTGCTGCAGAAGAGTCCTTTACCCATCTTAGCAGGGACAGCTCTGCCCTGAGACATCCCAGGCCCGCCCCAGGCCCACAGGGCTCTGCCAGGCTGCATGCCTGACCATGAGGCATCAGTGTAAACCAATTGTGTGACTGCACAAAGCAGGGCTTGTGTGTAAAAGGGGAGCGTCTGTCGAGAATGGAGTCAGCTTATTCTCTCCTCACCTTCTTAGGGCCAGGGGCAGGGCTGGGGCGGGGAAGCTGCTAAAAGCATCAACACAGGATGTGAGAGCACAGCTGGGATGACAAAGCCCAGTGATTTTTCAAGGTCTCTGGACATGCACCCAGACATGAAAGACAAGTCGGCCGCTGCTGGGCCTGCTTTCCTGGGGCCCCCACACCTCTGCACCGCACTTGCCGCCTGTGTAACTGCACATGGCAGTGCCTCAATGGCCATCAGAGGGAAGGGCCTCCCTCCTCAGGAAGGCACTCTTAAACACACCCTCAAGTGAGAAGGACAGCTTCTCCCTTTGTCTTCTCATGTTCGGCTCTAGACTGTTTTCCTGGAGGCCCTGGCTTGGGCTACAGTGCAGAGGAAGGAAGGTCTCCCCAGTGCAGAGGACTCTGCTTGCTCATGGGGAAGCGGTAACAAAGAGTGGAAATAAACCCCTCTTACCTTCCTGGTTACAGCTGGATCCAGATAGCCTTTGAGCTTTTGAATGTATGTGTGGGGAGGATTCTTCACCTGGAACCGTTCCTGCAGGAAGCATAAAAATAAAGTAAAAATATCGCATGTATGAAGGCATGACAACCAACCATGTTCCAACAGATTCAGATGCTGATCCAAGGCTGAAAGGCACCCACAGAACGGACGTGGCCCTGCAAATAAATCATCACTATATTCTAATGATGTTGTCCTCTCTGCAAAGGAGAAAACGGAAGCTCAGAGCAATTCGGCCCTTCCCGAAGGTAACACAGGTGTCAGTGGTGCAAATGGATCTGAAGCCACACTACCCTCCTCTAGTCTCTCCTGCTTTCTCTGCAGCTCTCATTCCAGGAATAATGTTCTGCCCAACTTGTAACCACATCCTCTTCTCGCAGGTCCTCAGTCTACTGCATATTCTTTTGAAATCTTTAATGTTAGCAAATCTTTTTTTGAATATTAATTCTTTGGGGAAAAACAACAACAAAAATTTGACTCAAACTCGATAAAACTTCTCTGTTTCAAAAACGAGTAGAGTCTATTGCTAAGAGGCTGGAGTGAGCGTGTATTTGTGTGTATGTATACCCATGGGTGTGATCGCTAAAGGGCTCCCAAGGCAGCCCAAACTAGAAGACCCAAAAATAGTTTAAGCAAAACCACAATCATTGAAATAAGCATATTTTACTAATATATATACATGCTATTTGAATATAGACCTGACGTGGGCCCAGGAATCTGCATTCTAACAAGTTTTATGCTGATGCTGTGGATGGAGGGACTACACTTCGAGGAACTCATGCCCCTGCATATTGGATTTTATAGACTATAAAGTCCAAAGCAGCACAATAAGCAGTAGTAATGCACTGGGTAGAAACCAAATGCCCACAAACTAAAAAGTGGATGGATAAATACCTATACTATGTTCATTCAACCGACTATCACAATGAAAATGAATAAACTACACAGCATGCACTGCATGCTCCTACATAGATGGGTCCTGTAAAGCTGATGTTAAGACAAAAAGAACACGATTTCATTTACTACAGATTTACACAAAACAGGCAAAATTAAACAATCTTTAATGGTTTTATTTATGTGCGTGTGCGTGTGTGTGCATGCGTGTGTGTGTTTAAGAGAGAGAGAGGGAGGGAGAGAGAGGTAGATGACTAGCTGGAGGACTGAGGTGGGGGAAGGGAAATATGAAGTATTCCTTGAGAGATTAGCAATGTTCTATTTCCTGACCGAAGTAGTACATGGGTGCTTGGCTTCATCCTACTTGTTATGCTGTTCTTGGGTTTCACAACCTCTTCTGTACATATGCTATACTTGACACACACACACAAAAAGTTTAAATAGTGTATCAGCTCTAAACAGAAAAAAAATAAAGATTCATCATGAAAGCAGGACAATTCTTATCAGGTTCTACCCTACCTATACCCCAAAAGATGTTTTTCCTAGTAATTATTTTAAACCTGATTATTGCTTACACCTCAATGGAATGTCTTAGAATTTTCCAACACTGACACTGGCCAGGATGTTTAAGCATTTGTATAACCCATGAGAATTCTATTTCTCCAACACAGGGATACTCTTCCCAGTCCACTCAAGTCTTGCTCGCTTAAGATTCAGAAATGCTAAAGATCATCTTACTATTACCAAAAAGATAATCTTACTAGTGTAAGTATATACTTTTAATTATGCTTTAAAATAGAAGGAAGTAGCTTATAGTGAGACATCTATCAATATTTCCCCTCTACTTAAAAAATGATCAGGGTGAATGTTATAGTATATCAACTATATTGCAACAAAGCTGTTAACATAAAAAGAACAGCATACTGTTCCTAATTGTTCCCCCAAATTTTCTACCGGGAGAAACATCTTGAGTGTCATCATAGGTCTGTATAGTCCTTTTTATTAATTTAAAACCACCATCACTTAGGTAATGAATCAAAGGGAATCCAACCTCCCTGGGTTTTCAGCAGCAGCCCAGCTGAAGGCTAAAAAATCACAAAAAGCTCTGATCTGAAAAGTTGACTGACAGCTAACTAGTTACTATTTCTAACCTTGCGTGTAACCACAGCTGATGCCAGAGATATAGCAGGATATAATAAAACTTATGCTTTGATGCCAGAGATATAGTAGGATATAATAAAACTTATGCTTTTTAACGATCCAATCATTCAAATTGTTAAAAATCCTATGACAATGCAAAGCTGTGCTCCCTTCTGCTATAGCAACCAATTACTTCCAAATAGAAGGCTCCTAACATAACCTCAAGGAATTCTAACTCTGGCTAATACAGTATCTGCTTGAGGACATGAAATATGAATCTGTGGACAATTGCTGACAGATTCCTAATTTATGTTCTTTTAGGCAAAGTCCCCATACCAGAAGAGCCATATGTATTCCTTTAAAAGTAAGATCTGGTTGCCCTGGCCAAGTGGCTCAGCCGGTTGGAGCATCATCCCATATGCCAAAAGGTTGTGGGTTTGATTCCTCATCAGGGCACATACCCAGGGTTTTGGGTTCAATCCCCAGTTGGGCGTGTATGGAAGGCAACCAATGGATGGTTCTCTTTCATATCTCTCTCTTGCTCTCTCTTTCGCTCTCGCTCTCTCTCCATATACTCAGGTGAGGATTAAAAATAAATAAATAAGGTTGAGTAGCACATAAAACATTGACATTCACTCAGTTAGTGAATCCCATTTTTGATAGTCAGTAAGGGCATCTTTCTCCACTTCCTGTTTAAGACTGGGGTGACCCAGAAAGGCTTTCTCAAATCCAGGGGCAAGCAAAAATAGGTTTACAGCTGTGAGTAGGTGAAACTGTTTACTCTTGTATTATTACTTATTCATTATTGTATTTATTGGTATTATAACTATAAACCTACTTTTGCTCACCCCTGTATACACTTTTATTGGTCCTGCAAATATTTCCTTACTAGAGGCCCAGTGCACAAATGTGCACTTGGGGGGGTCCCTCAGCCCAGCCTGTGCCCTCTAGCAGCCCAGGAGCCCTTGGGGGATGTCCACTTGCCAGCAAGGACCAGGCCTAAGCTGCAGTTGGACATCCTTAGCGCTGCTGAGGAGGCAGGAGAGGTTCCCGCCATCACTGCTGTGCTGGCAGCCATCAGCGGCTAAGTGGTGCTCCCCCTGTGGGAGCGCACTGACCACCAGAGGGCAGTTCCTGCGCATTAAGTGTCTGCCCCCTGGTGGTCAGTGCACGTCATAGCAACCCATCGTCCTGCCCTTCAGTTGATTTGCATATTAGCCTTTTATTATATAGGATTTATTTCAAATCCACTTAAGAAGTATTCCAGCATATCACAGATCATCTAGTTTATTTAAATTGATTCTACATGTGACAGTATTCTAGTTCACACAAAAAAATTAGAATTCATGGTGATTTACCTTACTATATATTAGTATATTATTGTCTTTTGATATTTGATAGGCTCTTAATGTTTAGAGTTGTAGCTCAGAGGCCGGCAGTGGCAGGTGGGAAACGTTGGAGTCCTCTGTCACTGAAGCAAGCAAGCCTCATGTTTGCTTCCAGCTGTCTGGCTGCCAGCCGTCATCTTGGCTGGCAGTTAATTTGCATATCGCCCTGATTAACCAATGGGAGGGGTAGCGGTCCTATGCTAATTACCTTGTTTCTCTTTTATTAGATTAGATAATTATTCCCCTGAAATTATGGACAAGGTCTACATTTAATACACTCATACTTTTTTCAACTGTTTATTAGCATTTGCTGTTGTGTTTTAGGCACATTTTTCACTTGTTTGAGAAACTTATTAATTTATTTCCAAGAAAGATAAAATAAAGAAGCCTGATGTCTTAAAATACAGTAGGCCTATATCACAGCTACTTCTTGAAAACTCGGCCTGCATCCAGGGTTTCAAATAAAACTGTACGGCAGAAGAATATAAAGCCCCAATCATTTTCCTGAAACTTAAGGTTGTTTCTATAATCTCAAAAGGAACTACAGTTTGAGCTATAAATCCAGCATCTGCCCCACCAAATCTTTCCATCTCTTCAATGTAGCCATTTGAACAAAAGTTTGGGGGGAATACACTGGAGAATGTCAGCACCTTGCCAACACACATTTTTTATTTGGAAGGACTTTGTATAGATTAGTGACATCATACTTATTTAAAATAATGTTTTTTTCTCTAATTATTAGAATTTTAGATTTTTTAATTGAAACCCCAAATTGCCTTGGATGGCAGTTTTCCATCACACTCACTTCCAAATGTTTCATCACCCACATGCTATTTCAATAACTATTTACCTACTTGTTCAACATCATTGATATGGGTAGCTTAATTAAATTAAGTCCTCAACCTGAGTTACATTATATAGAAATATTATTCTTAGGGATAAAGAATTTATTTAATTATGGTGATTTGTTAATATGGATTTTTTAGCACCTGAAGGAGCTTTAAAATACAAGTTTCTAATTTTCCAGGTAGATACCCAGAAGTGGGGTTGTTGGGTCATATGGTAACTCTATTCATAATTTTTTGAGGAGCCTCCATACTGTTTTCCATAGTGGCTGTACCAGTTTACATTCCCACCAGCACTGAATGAGGGTTCCTTTTTCTCCACAACCTCTCCAACACCTGCTATCGTCTTGTTGATAATAGCCATTCTAACAGGCATGGGGTGGTATCTCACTGTAGTTTTGATTTGCATTTCCCTAGTAGCTAGGGAAGTTGAGCATATTTTCATATATCTGTTGGCCATTTGTGTGTCTCCTTTGCAAAGATATATGCACCCTTATGTTCATTGCAGCACTATTCATGGTAGCGAAGACATGGAAGCAACCCAAGTGTCCTTCACTAGCAGACTGTATAAAGAAGATGCAGTACATATGGAATACTGCCATTTGCAACAACATAGGTTCCCCCAGCTGGCCAACCTCCCACGATCCCTTCCCCCAGCCAGCAGGCCCCCGAGCTGGAACAGGGAACTGGGGGTGGGTGGCGGCAGATGTGGCCCCTTTCCCAGGGGTCGAGGACGGGCTCCCTCCTCAGGGCCAGAGGCCAACCTCCT